AAGAAAGAAAGGGGGAGGGAGGGGGAGGGAAGGAAGGGAGGGAGGAAGTCCTTATTTTTTCCAACACTGCAACTCAGAAGAGCAATTTAAGACAATGCTACATCTGATAGAGAATCCAATGTCAGTAATTAAAAAGTTGTGCTCAACCTAGAAGAAAAAGTTTGTTTTTACCAAATCAGGCTAATAGGAGCATAAACAGAAATTTGTGGAGATTTCCAGACATCTCAGATCAGTTGAGGAATTGCTTGGAGTTAATGCTTTCTATTGAAGAACTGAGCCAGGTACAGCTACTGTACAAAGACACCTGCCTCCCAGCTGAAATAAGCATCCACTAGGGACTCAATGGCACTCTTTCATTCACTCACTCACTGTGACACTAGCCACTCAGGATGAAATGACAGTATGCTACAAGAACCTACACAAGAGTAGATGAGATGACGTTAACATACAAACCAGCAAACATAAGATACAGCAAGCACATAGACAGGGAAGGATTCGTTTAGCTTGGGAGTCAAGGAAGGCTTCCTAAAGAAGACAGCAGCAAGCATCTGATGGGCAGTCAGAAGTTTGTCTGATAGAAAAGAGCCACTGAAAGGAGAAGAGGGCCTGAGAGAGAAATGAGGTTGTTATTTCCTTTCAGGACAGTTGGGGCGCTGGAGCCAAGAACAGACCTGGAACAAAGTTAATGCTATTTTTACAAGCTAGAAAAATACCAGCAGCAGGAGCCCTGGCCAGAACCACCCCCACAAAGTGCAAACAAAACTACTCCTATCTGCTGGCTGTCTGCTGGAGAACTCACTAACCAGTCCCTTAAGAACAAAATGTTCTTTTATCTTTGATTTTTCATTCCCACAAAGTCCTTCCTCCTGTTTCCAGAGCTGGAAAACCCATGAATTGAGCTGTGCTGCTCTTTGATCCCTATCTTTCCATCCCAGGCTGTCTTTGGGAACGAGAGTCTATGGGGTATTTCTGCCGAGAGGTGACCCCCACCACTTCTCCGAATGTGGGGTGCAAGCCTGATCATGTCAGGTCAGCATATGACCTGCCCATGGTTGTCAGGGCAGTGTTGTAAGAGAACAGGACGGCTGGCATACCACTCCCACTCCAAAGTTAGGCTCTTATCATGACATTTGGGGTCGCTCAGCACCGGGTTCGCTCCATCAGTTCTGAAGGCTGTTTCGGACTTAAATCTATGTAACTTCTTAGGGTACTGAATCCCATATTCTTTTAAAGGTCATGAGGAGGACAATCGGGGCCACTTCTGAAGAGACAGGGGGGTCAGAGACTTGGGTTCTTTCTTCTCTGCCTGCCTATGCACAGGGAAAAGAAGGGAAAAGGAGAGAGAGAGAGAGAGAGAGAGAGAGAGAGAGAGAGAGAGAGGGGGGGGGGGGGTGTGTGTATGTGTCTGCATCTGTATATCTGTCTGTGTGAGCATGTGTGTGCATGTATCTGTGTCTGTGTTTGGGCACATGTGTGATGTAGATATCACCAGTTTTCACAGAAAAACCACGAAGGGCCATTGGTAGCTCTTCCCATAAAAGAGAAAACAAGAGTTGAAGAGGTAACCTGCCTGTAGGCAGAACAGGGATTTAGTCGAGTCAGATCTGCGGGCTCAAACCAATACTAGGAACCAACAGAAACACAGAGCAGGGAGAGCAATACAAAGCTCCCCTTGTCAGTTTTGTTCATTGCTGACAGTCTCCGGTGTCCAGACCCAGCACAGACAGGCCGCCCACACTTGATATTTATCTTTAGTCCATCTGTGGTCAGATGGTCATTCAGGTCTCTCTGACCTCTGTTTTCCATTGAATCCCAACATGACACACTCAGGTGGAAAATGAGCAGAATGTTTGCTTCCAGGCCTCTTGACTTTCCCAGATATCCTAATCCTGTAAAGTGCTGGGGAAAAGAGGCAGGGTAAGAAGCTAGAAGAACAACATTTGATCTGAATTATCAGCAAGTCTTCCCACTCCACAGCAGTGAGAATCCCTTCCCTTGCCTTCTCCCGCCAGCACAGGCACCTGGGTTCTGCGCTTTAAGAATCCAGGAATTTATTCTATCTTTCCACTTCAAAATTCACTTTTAATAGGTGGGAACTCATTACTGTGGGAGAGCCTGGGCACAAAAGACATAAGCCAAAGCTCCTGGGGGTGAAATTTCTGTCAGTGAGCTCTGTCTTTAGACACCAAATGGAGGTCATCTGGGAGTTTACCCCTCATGGACAGCACAAAATGTCCTGGGCAGAAATACGAAGGTGTGTTTTGACACGTCCTTAGGGAGGCCAGGGAAGCTGACAAGGAAACCACAATGGCTGTGGTTCCCCAAGACGAGGCTCTCTTCCCTGTAGCACCTAGTGGCCCCAGCCAAGTGTTCGTCACCTGGGTGAGGCAAATGGTTGAGCCTGTCACCCCAGGGAGAATTGCAAAAGAAAATGAAGAAAGTTTCCCTGAGCGGCTCCACGATCTGCACTGTCAGGACAGTTATGAGACGAGAACACGCCATGTCTGTCTACGCCTCCAGCTCCGTGGCTTGTACTTCAAAGCATGACACTTTACCGAGAAGCACTGCTCGCACTGGGAAACGCTGGAGAGAAAGAGCCTTGCCTGTGGCCGCAGCCTACTCTCCCACCGGCAGTCCTGTTGTTTATTCTTTCTCTGCGCCAGAGCCTGAGAACAGAAAGATGAGCCGGGAAGGGGCTCTCAGACTGGTGAGGAGTGTCACCCAACCCCACACATCAGAAACAGATCAACCTTCACTCTAAAGTTCAATGTGACCTTACTCAACACATTTATCAGCTACTTATAAAAAACGATGCAATGTTCAGCACTAGGAGCATGAGATGAAAGATACAGTGTCCTTGTTCGCAAGAAATTCCTAGTCTGGTTAGAAAAGACAATCAGATCAATCATAAAGTTACAACATAATATGATCATTTCCTCAAACAAATAAATACAACAAAAGGAGCACAATTTACAGAATTTCTCAGTCTAGCTGTTCCAATGAATAGAGGCTGTAAAGGAGAAAGTTTAATGACCTTCAAATTGGAGGGGGTTACCTAACCATTGTCACCAAGGGTTAGCCTCCCCCTTGGTGACAATGTTGAGCAGTGGGAGCTGTAAGAGGTATCCCATGTGGTAGGGATGGGTTATGTATTAATGGAGAAGGTTCCCAATAAAAGCAACTTCTTTTCTCTTTCACGTGCAAAAACGCTCCCTTGTTGTTCCACCTTCTAACACAGACAGAACGCTACTAGATGTGAGTCTTCTGAGATTCCAGGCTACAGAGCTGTAATAAATCTATATACTCTTGGTATCTGTGGCCTCAGGGGTGCTGTTACAGCAGCACAGAGTAGACCGAGATTCTCATAGTCATTTCTAGGAAGATAACACATGTGCCAAGACAGAGATGTAATGAAATGAGATCTGGAAACACAATCTATGGTGAGTCCTTGAAGAGACAGCTCTTGACTTGAAGGCAGTGGTTCTCAACCTTCCTAATGCTGTGATCCTTTAATACAGTTCTTTATGTTGTGGTCATAAAATATTTTCATTGTTAATTTCTAGAGGTAACTTTGCTACTGTTAGGAATTATAAATATCTGTGTTTTCCAATGGTTAGGAACACCATGAAAGGGTTATTCATGTGAATAGCTGTTCTAAGGTAAAACGTGAATCAGCAATTAAGAATTGGAGTCTTACTATACCACCAGAATGGCTGAACTCTTGCCTCACTTCTTTTGCCTCACCACTTTTGTGGTAGCAAAAACCACACGTGTGTCACCACACTTGACTAAAGTTCTGTGACCTTAATCCATTATAAGAGATTCATTTTAGCCATGGCCTGGTATGCATCTACATATACTCACACATGGAAACAGGTTAACACCACAGTACTTACCTACCCTTGCTGTGCAAGACACTCAGTCTGCTGTGTTCTGCCCTATTCTGTTCTACTTCATACTATTCAGTTCTGAAAATTCAATGGCATGACTTGGAACGTTTGCCTTACAAATGACAAGCCATCATTGGAAACAAACGCTGTTGTACTGAAAGGATAGGGGAATATATAAAAATGTAGTAAAATTGAGAGATTGAGAATCATAGTTATCAAAAGAGAAAACAGAAGGAAACTACAGCTGAGTTGAAGACGAGAACGGAACCACCACATTTAACTAGCGTTCTCCGCTTTCTTGTATGTTTTCCTCTTAAAATTTGGGAAGAGAATTTGGTTTTGTTTTATTTTATTTCATGTAGCTTTGAGGTGCTGAGGACTGAATCACACGCCTTGTGCGAGCTGGGCAAGCGTTTCACAGGCTTTGTTTCACGTCCACCTTCCCTTAGCACCGCGCCAGAGTGTATGGTGAGGAGCCAATGGGGTTTTGAAAAATGAATAAATAAATGCATGAAGTGAAGACTTGAAAGTTATATAGGAAATTAAATCGAGACTTCAATCAAGTAATTGGGTTTAGGAAAAAAGCCAAATATTTTATTAAACAAATCTATCATGCTTATAAAGATCTTGCGCTACCATTAGTAAAGAAAGAATTCATGAAAGCACCCTACCATCACACGCTGGGGACGGAAGTAAACATACATTGTCCAAATTTTCATGACGCTAGAGAACTGTCTAGATTAATGTTATATGATTATGTATTAAGGAATTAATAGTTTGTAACTTTTATTTTTAATTATGAGTTTTCTAATTCTATCCAAATGCTTATGTGTATAAAGGCCTTTTCTTATTTCACCTTAAATCATCAGCCCTTGACCTCTGCTGAGTAAACAGAAAAGATGTATTCTGGGCTCTTGGCGACATTTCTTTTGCCCAAAGAACCCACAGAACCGGTGCTGGGATAGAAGAGGTTACCTAGTCCTCCTGCGTGGGCATCGATGAGTGAGGTCGCCACAGCAATCCCCGAGGGAAGACCCAGCTCTTTGGCTGCCTCTGGTGTGAGCCCACTTCCAAGACAAGTTCCAGGAGGCAGCACAAGATTTCCTGGGTAGACAGGAGAGAAAACAAACACCCATCAGTGTGGAAAACTCGAACATGAACAGAGGGTTTTCTTAAGAGAGCCTTTTTTGCTCCATCCTCCTTGCCTGCATTTTCTCAACTGCACAGAGACAGAAACCATGCACCCATAAAACACCCCTCTGCTCATTTTGTGATCTTGGTATATGTCTTTGATAGGCACGCAAACACGTGCTCCAAAAGAAACAGAAAAGTGACTTCTGCGCTTGCTTCCCATTGGAGAGTAAAGGAAAGAAATATTTTGTTACAAGAAAGAATTTCTTAAATTGTGTATTCTAGCTGGAGGAGACAGGCTAGTTGAAACCTTAGGGGATTCCGTGAGGCTATTGCTTGCTCAGAAACAATTCTTCGGAATTTTGCAATGCAGTGACCCTGATATTTCAAGTGACCTTGACGTCCTGCCATTGGGGAGGCCTTTAGTTAATAATTTACTGATTCTCTAGCTTTGTGTGGGCACTGCTGGGCTGGAAAAGGCAGTTCTTGTTTTCGATCTAGTTAGGGAGATAAGATAAGGACACAGAAAACCATGTGAGGCAGAGGAAAATGAAATGACCTATCTGTTGTGAGGTATTTAACAGAGGCTGAACCCCTTCCACTCTGGAAAATATTCTGTAAGTATTTCTGCCTCTTTTTTTTTTTTTTTTTTGCAGGGTCTGTGTAAGACTTAGACCACATGTATTCTGTAATCTCTATTGAGCCCCAGGATCCTAGGATTCTGAATGTGTGCTATGAGCTTCTTGAGTATGAAAGCATCACTTGTAATTGTTTAGGGAGCGTCAGGGTTAAGTAGAGGTGCCTTATATTTTCAGCACGTGCATGTACACACACACACACAATTACAAATACATACACACACACAAAGACATACAGACATAGACAGACAGACACACACACATAAGTGAAGATGGTAAATGGCTCTAAAGACCCTCTAACTGGAAATAAAACACCTCCCCAGTCCATGCTTATATCTATCTTAAATAATAAACTTCTGTCTATAACTAACTCTAAAATTAGGTTAGCCCAAAAGATTGATATCAATGTAGTGGGTTTTAGATCTTCTTCATTTAATATTGATTTTTAAGTCATTTACATTTAAAATTTTAAAACACATTGAATTTGTGTTCTGACAAACAAAGTATGTTTGGGATAATATGAGTGTGCAAATTTATTTTTCCAGCATTCATTTAAGAAAGGAAAGCATTTCCAGTGGAAATCTAGTATCTGAATTATGTTTGATGAGGACATAGAACCAAAGATTTGTTCACTGCGGAAAGGAGAGAACTCCCAAAGACAATGCTGGAGAGCTCACCCTGGTGGTGAGGACAAGGGAGAGCTGGCGGGCTGACCAACCCTGCAACTACTCAGGCCCAGAACAAGAATTATGTGTTGGTTCAGCCCAACATCCGTTCCATCTGTGATCTGCTGGAGCACAGAAAGGAACCAGTTCTTCAGACCCAGAGTTACAGGATCTCCACATCACAGGGCATCAGCAAGATAACCAGTGAGGGCCCAGCATCGACAGTGTAGCAGAAACCAGAAGCCTCAAACCAGACCAGTGACTCTCTCCATTGGACACTTGCAAGAAAAGATATATGGGTAAAAGCATCTATTGTGTGACTCACTGTACCACACTACAACTTCCACAACGAGATTGGTTATTTTCTCTTTCTCTCTCTTTTTTTCTCTTAAAGTTTATTTTCTTTTATTGGAGCGGGGGAGGTTGCAAGGACATGATAAGACATGGGACAGGGAAATGAATGGGATGGAGATGCATGATGTGAAAGACACAAAGAATAAATGAAAAGGAGAAAAAGAGAAACTACTAAGACAGACAGACAGACAGATAGATAGATAGATAGATAGATAGATAGATAGATAGATAGATAGATCAAACAGGATCCTATCTACAATAGGCAAGCACACTACAATAGGCAACCACAGTATCACTGAACCAGATCCCAAGACTGATATAAAATTAATAGTGAGATTCTTTACATTCACTTTTCCAGACTGGATGAATCCTTCTTCTACGATCTCAGAGCCAGCTCTCTAACCTGACTCAACCATTGATGGGCAGGGGTAGGGCAGGCTCTCCTCTGTCTCTTCCATGCCACTACATGACAGCTGAGGAATGGGGACAGCTATCCCATGCTCACAACTTTGGGGCTGGGTCACCCAAACCTCTGCCAATGAGGTTGGCTCTATTGTGCTATCCACGTGGGGTGCAAGGTCTGCTCTCCTGAGTATTGTAATTGGGGGTGGGCAGGGGCAGCTCTTGTGCCCTTCTGACCTCAGGGTCAGCTCTCACACCTGCTTCAGGTGTTGCTCAGATGTTGCCTCAGGAGGAAAGGGAGAGCTGGATTTATTCTTAAGCACAGCAAAAAGAACCGTTACACCAATTGTATGTAGAAATGATATTTTTTATCTATTAAGTTAAATAAGACATCAGAATTAATTCATCTACTTTTTTTTCTTGCTTTATCATGAGGACTAACAGAGTTTAAAGTCTGCTGTGTTGCTCATACGCTATGTCTGGTGAATTGTGCTGGTCTAGCAAACACGGTTCAGATGCACAAACACAGGCGTAGAAGAAGGCTAAGCACTGGTCTGTACTGAATTTCAGGACATAAGAACGTGGAAGAGCTGGATTCTGGACAGTCTCTTAGTTATGTCACCACATATATTCTGTAACATATGACAGACATTCCTCCCGGAGTCAACTCTTCTATCTGTGCTAAGAACATAGCATGCATTTTCTCTCTTCATTATGCTAATAACATCTAAGAGGGCTACAATAGGATCCATCTTTGTCCTTACCTCACAGGTGGATGTCAGGAAACTGAAACTTTTGGAACAGTAAGTCTCTTGCAGCCACGTAGCTTAAACATTGGAGGTAGGCTTTAGGTTCTCCTCTGACATCAAGTCTTACACTATGACATCAAAGCACAGATTTTTCTCAACTATGCTTTGAATAAATGAAGGGATCAAGGGTTTTATTTCTAAAACAAGCATTGTTGTACATTTTTAAATGACCACCATTTAGAAGTCTTGCCTGCTGAGTTATTTTAAGGCTTGATTTCTATAAGAAAGTAAAAAATAGAAACTGTAGAGATTCATCTACCACATCTACGACTTCAGAAAAGAAACTTCCATGGACAGTTTCATAAGAGAGTTGGAATTAGCAGAGAAGATCGCTTTTCTCTGGGGAGATTTAGAAACAGCTTAGTTAGTAAATGAATGAATCTGGCCTGTGAGAGGAGGCTTCAGAGGACTGTGAGTAGAGTCCTAGGAGCTCAGAAGACCTGGTGTCAGGGTACACAGGGCAGGGAAGTCCGCTCAACAGGTAGACCATCTTGAACAAGAATCAGGATAGAAGAGAGGACGTATCATGGGTGATTGGCTCAGGGCTGGGTAAAGGCAGTAGAGCACAGGTTTGGTTAAGAGTAGCAGGTGATGGACAGAGATGGTTAGAGAAGCAAGCCTTGCAATAACACTTCAGGGCTTGGGCCTCAGCGCTGACACCACCAGATCCCACTGAAGAGGTGATGCAAGAGGGTGGTGGCTGGATCTGTGTTTTTAGATGCTCATTCCAGCAATATTTTAGGAGAGGATATGCTTGATACTAGAAAAGAAAACCGCAGTGAAGTTCTTCATTCACCAAAGGGAGAAGTGTTAAGGTAAAGAGTAATTGGAATGCAGAAACAGAAAAGGCATGAGATTTTTATGACGGTAATTTTAATGTAGGGACTATGGAGGAAGAGACGATGCCATGGCTTGAATTCCCTTATCAAGAAAAGAAAAGCTGACTTGCTAAAAGAGATTGAGGGTACAGACAGTGGCCAGCTGCCAGCCCCAAGTTCCCCAGGGATCCTCAGCTTCAGATCTTTCTCTTGGACCCCTGTCCTGTGACTCGGTGAAGGAGGAAGGAAGGCTGGCAGGTGCCCTTCACCCTTCTACAGCACTCCGCCTGGCTAACTAATGTAATTTCTAACTGCATCACCACTCAGGGTCTCCCGCTTCCACAGATAACCATGCTCAGTCTACAACTCGTCCCATGTCAGTCTCGGCTCAGTTCCTAAAGAATTCAGCCCAGGACGATGAGCCAGGCTTCTGAAGCTAATGATTTAGGACTAAAAGTTAATGCTCACCATGATGAACATCCCTTCTTAAATTGGAACCATCCTGCAGGCATCATCTGTCTGACCCCAAACATGAAGGAGCTTTGTTTATCCAAACCAGAAGGACGCAGCATAAGATAGGAAGGTGGAAATACATATTGTGTGAAAAGAAATCTCCACATCTTCATTTTCGCAGCCAGAAGCATCTTAGAGGGTCTAGGACAGTTAGGTGCCATCTGATAATGTTTTCGTTCACCATGAAATATAATAACCCACAGCATTGTTCTCCCCAGAGCTAATCAAGACGTCACTGACTCAGGCTCTGCAGTTTCTTCTATGCTTCATCAACCGCTAGCTCACGTGTTCCACAAGCCTTTGAGAAACAATGCGGAGAAGATGGTCTGCACCAGTTCTCACCTGCCTTGGGCCAAGGTCTAGGTGTTGGTAAGGAAGCTAAAGAGGCCTCTAGGACTTCAAAAGATTCACATGAAGTCTGGAACTAAGATGATGGAAAACTAAGATCTTAACTGTGCAGAAGATAGGAGAAAGGTAGACCGTGCATGTTGCACCTAAAGAACCGAGGAGGGCTCCTTACACTGACCTCAGAGAATGAATGAAATATTCAAGGTAGAGACAGCACCGGGATAAGGGTTAGAATGACTTCCAAAGGCGAAAAATAGACGTAGTCATACTAGAATTAGACTATTCCAGGAAGTGGCTCCACCAAAACAAATGGCTGTTCACTGTAGGGAATCCCGAGGGGCCAGGAGTTGGGGGATTCAGTTTATTAGCGACAGGAGTACTGAGAAGAGGTGGGGAATAAGGTCAGCCTATGTGAGAGCAACACAAGGCTAGAGACAGCAAACTAGTAAGTACCTACCCACTTGACACTCTAATTCCATTTTTAAAATGATAAACCTACTATGTGAACACAGAAAGGCTAGCATGGGAAACATTTTATCTTTCAAACACCTGAACAAGTGAAAATGCAGGCTGCAAGGTATTATGCAGAATATGACTTCACTGCAAAAGCAACAATGGTGGTGGACGAGTTTATAAAACTACATTCCTGGGAGGTAAAACACAGGAAATGTTTCCAGTGGGGGGTGGGGGTGAATATGTGCTTTTTATTAACCTGTGGTTTCTTTGGTGTTTCTTTGAACAAGCATTTTTTTTAAATCATAGTTTTAAAGGTGTTTCTCTTCTGGTCTGATATTTAAAAAAGAAAACAAACAAAAACACATCTATTCAGCAGAATCCTACATAGTCATTAAAACCCAGGAGGTAGAATTAAGGTATGAATCTAGGAGGAAGTGCAAAACAAAGTAAGGGTCAGGCCAGGGTGTGGAATAGGGCTCATCTAATGAGCACATTTGTGCCCCCTTTAAAGACTACGAACATTTAAGCACATATACGTCCGGAGATTTTCTAGAAAAACACTGATTATTATCACAGCGCAGATGAGGCTATGTCGGGAGGTATTCCCCTGAGCTATCTGTGTGGCTTCCAGATCTCAACCTTATTTGTTTGCTTAAATAACACCAAATTAGCTTAGGTTTCAATAAAAACAAAATGAAAGCAGATTCCCTTCATCTTTTCCTTGTTCTGCTCTACAAGCTGAAGGCAGGAAAGAATCCCATGGGCCATTCGCCTATGCTCTGATCTGGCTGTGTTTACACGCTTCACCTTGAGATGTCAGGTGGCCCCGAGGACACTTGGGCTCCATGAATTCCCCTCTGAATGGACAGATGTGGCCTGAGTGGTCAAACTGGAGTCTACAATTATCGGGTGGCTGCAGGGGCTCTTATTACACCAAACCTTCCCCTACCCGTTTTTCAATTATCTATGACTAATGAGCACTCTGGGAACAGTTTCAGACACACACATAATCCTCTTTCCTGATGTCAGCAGCAGAAATTAATGACTATGTGGATTGCTGGGAGACAGAAGATGCATTATAATGGTCAACAGAACTGTTACCCTCTCCAGGAAGGGGGGAGGGTGTTGAATTAACTGGAAGGTTCAGTGTTCCTTTGTATTCTGAGAGGGAGATGAAACACATGGGGGGGGGGAGTTGGCTCCAGGCCCACGGAAATGTCAGAGAGGTTTGGGCGTGGGTGGCATGCGACCCTGCTTCCTTGTGCTTGGCTATGGAATGCTAGTACCAGCTCGGCTGGGCAAAGCTAACAGGACAACCAGACTGTATCCAAGACTGTGCTAAAGGACATTTTGCCCTGCCAATGTAGAGAGTCCTGGAATTCTTTCCAGCAACCTATGACTTTCAATCTTATTTAAAGGTGGGGAACGAAGCTGAGAACACGCAATTCTCAAACACTGCGCTGGGGATATGAGAAAAGTATTCAGTGGCAATTGTTAAGTTGAGCATCTCACACAGACATGGAGCATGCTTGGATGGCTCCAGAGAATGTCACAGTCTAGCCTGACTCAGATCACATTGATAGGTCAGCTCTGGGGATTTTCTAGATCTGGAACAACAGGTAAAAGGTGGCCAAGAAGATTCCAGTAGTTCTAGCTCCTGAACTGCAGTTACGTTTGTCCAGAATGGTTCGGCCAGCTCGAGAATGCATAAGAAACCCAAAGCTAGCATTTCTCTGCCACTTGTTTAAGGACAACTTTTTATGTGCCTCTCAGAAATCATGTCATTGTAACTAGAAATTAAATTTTATTTCCATTACCAGTTTCACATGGAACTATATGATATTCTCTGTCACTCACTAAAGAAATGGTAAATAGACAGCTACCGTGTGCCACCCACTGTCCCAGAGTAGAAATTAGATCAACAGTAGAGGAGAACTTTGTAGCAAGTACTAGTCCTTTCTAATACCACTTCTGAAATATATCTGTTAGTTAATACATCTTATAAGTACTCTGCAGTTTGGACTGTTTGGTAAATACTAGGGTCTTTGACTTTGTATTCTGGTCTATACTTGGTATTAATAAATAAACACACCTTGTCTTAGTGTTTCTATTGCTGAGAAGAAACACAGTTACCATGACAACTCTTCTAAAGGAACATTTAATTGAGGGTGGTTTACAGTTTCAGAGGTTTAGTCCATTAACATCATGATGGGAAGCAAGGCAGTATGCAGGCAGACCTGGTGCTGTACAGGTAGCTGAGTTCTACATCTTGACTTGTGGGGAGCAGGAAGTGAACTGTCCTACTCTGGGCATAGCTTGAACATATATGGAATTTCAAAGTTTGCCTCCCCAGTGACCTGCTTCCTCCAACAAGGCCACACCTACTTTCTTATATTGCCACTCCCTATAGTCCAAGGATTCAAATACATGAGTCTATGGGAGCCATACCTATTCAAACCACCATACATCCTATACCTTATTATTGTTTTTAAATATAAACTGTTTGGCCTATTAGCTCAGGCTTATTATTAATAGCTCTTACAACTTAAATTGGCCCATAATTCTTATCTCTGTTTAGCCATGTGGTTTATACCTTTTCTCAGTAAGGTATTCTCATCTTGCTTCCTCTGCTTCTGGATGATGACTGCATCTCTGCTTTTCCTCTTTCCAGAATTCTCCTAGCCTGGTGACCCCAGCTATATTTCCTGCCTGGTTACTGGCCAATCAGTGTTTTATTAAACCAATACAAGTGACAAATCTTTACAGTATACAAGAACATTATCCCATAGCACTGGCCTGACCACCTCCTCTCCTATGTTGTGTGTAATGCTACAAAATGCCCCTACTGCAAAGTCCCAGGGAACAGCCTAGATTTTAAATTCACTTCTGAATAACTCTAACATGCCATTTCCCTATGTTAGGTTCTACCTATCTCTCCCAGTAGAAAGAGAATAGTTCACGGACTATTTTATTTCTCTTAGCATCAATTTTCCCTCATTCCTAAGTATCTAAAATAGATTTAAAGTAATATTCACTTAATAAAATGTATATATTTTTTAAAAAGTACTTTTCATTAAAAAAAGGATCAGAAGAGAATAATCAATCAACTTGGACAAAAAGGTTGAAGTTACACACTTATACATGCCCACATATGCTGAGTATTGGGAGAAAGTAAAGAGAAAAGCATTAAGTTTAACTCTTAATCTAGGATGCTACCAGGGTAAAGACCCTACTATACTCCCGCCAGTGCTCCACTCAAACATCTCTGACTTAGGACAATGGAACACATCAAGGGCAATGCACATACCCAGCAAATGCCAGGAAGCATGCAGCAACCTCTCCCTGTGCACAAAGGATGATATGATAGCAAGAGACTACTGAGTCCATGGTCTTGAAGAATACAGATCTCGGTCCTCTCAGCTGAATAAGCCGGTTCAAAGAGTCTCTGGGCATTAAGCAGTTATAGAAGCAGAGTCTAGACTAAACACAGGGTTCCCGACTCACAAGGCTTCCTCAAAATTCTATGCCCACTGTTTTATATATATCGCTCTGGTCCTTCCCCAACATGAGGAAGGAAGCTCACCTAAGCCAGGACCGTACGTCACATGGTGTCTCGAATAGCTGGCAAAATTCAATAGGTTCCAGAGGTGTGGGAGGCAGTTCTGAACTATTCAGGGCATGGCTGTGGTCTTGTTAGCTTGAAATCATCAGCTCTGACACTCACAGTGACCTAATTCTCCAGATAATTGCTGATGACCTATTTTGTTCTCCCCTAGCCTAAGGCTACCTCCTAAAACCCTCCCCTAGGTGGATCCTAATTAATCCCTCTTTCCTCTGGAACCCTCAGCATGGTGTCTGGAATTACATCATTCTGTTCTTCACACACAAAGGCTACTTTCCTTGCACCTAACTCTTCTAATTTCAAGGATAAGGGCTGGAGGGCACAGCTCTTCAACCTGTATTGTCCCAAGCAGGCAGGTTAGAATAACTTGTGGAGTTCAGCTTAGGTAATACCCAGGTTTGGGTGCAGTCTACGGCCTTATTATTCTCAAGGTTTATGATCTTGGGCAAGGGATTTCTTTCCCTTGCAAAGCTCCATGCTTATAAGAATGCTAAGATAATGCTATTCTTCTCCCAGAGTGGTCATGATAATTCAGCAAGATAATGCCAAGGAAGCACATTCGCTGATAGCACACACGCAACAAAAGATCAGCAAGTGTGAGACACTATCACAGTTATCACAGTTCCCTGTGCCCAGCATGTAACATCGCCTAGCACAAGGAGGTCACATAGTTCATTCTCGCTGAGTCTGAACAGCTTGAGGGTCTATGACGTTAGTGCATGATGAACTGCATGCTTTTGAGGTCATATGCACAAGCTGCAGAAACCATGAAAGGTGTCAAAATATTCATAGTAAAATTTATGTTTCTGTGGTCATATTTCTATGGTGTGCCTTTAGAATGATTTTTTTTCTTGGTCACACTTACTTTTTTTTCTCATTAAGAATTTTTTTTAGTACAATCTTTTCTCATTTTACATAGCTATGTCCATTCCCACTTCCTCCCCACCTCTAGTACCACCCTTCCCTTCACCCCCATCCCCTCCTCAGAAAGAGTAAAGCTTCCCATGAGGAGTCAACAAAATCTGACACTTCACTTGGAGGCAAGACCAAGGCCCTCCCCCCTATATCTAGGCTGAGCAAGGTATCTCTCCAAAGAGAATGTGCTCCAAGACGCCAGTCCAAACACTAGAGATAAATCTGCAGTCCCACTGCCAGTGGCCCCCCAGATTACCCAAGCCTCACAACTGTCCCCCACATTCAATGGGCATAGTTTGGTCCTATGCAGGTTCCAGTGTTCAGTGAGCTTTCACGAGCTCAGCTCAGCTGTTCCTGTGGGTATTCCCATAATGGTCTTTACCCCTCTGCTCATATTACTGCTCTTCCTTCTCTTGGATTAACCTCCAGAAGCCCCGCCCAGTGCTTGGCAGGTCATTCAAGAAGGGGGAAGGACAGGGAGGGAAAACAAGGAAAAGGATATCTTGATTGAGGGAGCAAAAGCAAAGTGCTAGAAAGAAACAGGGCACTAGGGAAATTCCCAGGAATTTACAAGGATGACCCCAGCTAAGACTCCAAGCAACAGTGGAGAGGGTGCCTGAACAGGCCTTCCCCTGTAATTAGACTGATGACCGCATTAACTGTCATTACAGAACCTTCATCCAGCAGCTGAGGAAAGCAGATGCAGAGATGCACAGAGAAACAGGAAATGTTTTAAGAATGAGTGTAGAAAGTGTTATCTTTGGAGTCATTTTAAGGTCTAAATGCTGATTTCAAAAGGAAACATTGTTATTTGTTATTTTGTCAATAAAACACTGGACGGTCATGTGACTATGGCTTTCTAGAGCTATGTAAACAGTTTGGTCAGTGAGAGTATGCCATACCTAGGAAAAGGCAGACTCGGGAAAGAATGGTTTTAGCTGCCATTTTTGTTCCAGGCAGTACATGGTTTGGAAGAGGGATTTCACTACTTTGATTTGTTGGTTTACAGTTCAGTGAGAGTTACATCAAGAAACTACAGACAGAGCTAGGTTTCTCCCTTTTAAACTTTTGTCCCAATGGCTTGATTTTTACAAACCACTGATTCATTATTAGACAGATTGTTTGATCACTAAAAAAGACAGGAAGATGATTTATCTCAAAATAGAGGATTCTTTTAAAATAACTGTGTTTCCTTTTATAATCCCATCTACTGACTGTGCATAGCCCAGGGAACACTGTCAGGGGCCAGCGTGGGTGAGCAGTCTAGACTCCTGTTTGCACACCGCTGGTTCACAGTTGATAACAAGCTCCTAACAATGGCTGCTTCTATGGGATGTCAAGCAGCAATTCTCACAGGAGAGGGCCAGTCAGCAGGGCTGGTGGTTAACTGCACAAGGCCAAACATCTGGTGATTTCAAGACATCTGGGGCTTTTCTATCATGTAGACCAAACACGATTCAGGTAATTGACCAAATTTTTCACTTTCCAACCAGATGTCTTACTTTCATGGAGAGGAAGCCCATCATGTGCTTTCATGTGCAAATAAGCCAGACTAAACTCACCCCAGAGGGCAGGATTAATTGCTTATTCTCAATGAATACTAAAT